GTGGCTCCCTGTTTACAGATTTACCCTCCCAACTTTTTACCTCAGACGTCTTTCTTCGTTTTTTGCTGACCATAGCGTTTTTACTTTTTATGTTATTGATCAGTCTCTTGGCCATTTCTTATGACCTGTTGTTTGTATCGATTTTTCTATATGAATTCAACTTTCTATTTTTTCTTACGTGATTCACGTCACGCAATGAGAGGCAGCAACTGAAGAGCTCTCTCGAAATGCCATGGATCCAATAAATCTTGCTGTTATTTCTATATTTAAATTTGAGGTACTTCTCGTGTTATACTGGTGTATAAAAGTAGCAAATGTTTTCATTTATTCAAAAATATTTTCTGGGCACGAACCCCTACAATTTACTTTAGCTCTACAAAATCAACTAATAAATTCCTCAAGAGTTTTTCTGTATACGCAGAATCAACGCGTCTGCAGAGGCTGTGCTCATTGATTTAGCACAACGTCCGGGTGTTTGAATTGCCGATCGATACTCGCCCACTGTGACCAGCGCGAAGCCAACGTTTTGTATCCTGTGTCAGTCTTTCGAGGATGTTTCACCTTTTGGATCTTTTTTTCTTTACTCTCCTCATAATGTAAATTCCAGAATACCTGCAAGAGAATTTTAAGCGTAGGATTGCATCCCTGCTTGACTTCCTTTGTCGCCATCTTTCCCCATCACGAAGGTCGTTTTAATCACTATGTGATGAGTATTTGACTTGTTTAATCTGCTATCTCATTCGCCCAAGATTTCATTTATAAACGTTGTATACAAGCTGGTTAGGGATAGGCTGCTGCGCATATTAGGGGTGGATGATAGTGGTTACCGGTCAGGGCTTTTTACCCTACGAAAGAAGTCTAGCTAATCTCGATCTATTTCCTTTAAGTTACAGACAGCTGCGTGGCGATCTGATATAAACATTTCGTAAAATGCGCGGACAGGACTGTGGACTTCTACCTGGCGACTTCTTCGAGTTAGCAACAACGACGAACTTAAGAGGG